AGCGCGGGTTGAAGCGGGAGCGGTGGCGGAGGAGGAGGGGGACGCCGCGGACGGTGGCCATGGTGGCTCACGAGGAGCTGGGAGGGCTGCTGCCCATCAAAAGGACTATCCGGGTGATCGACGCGCAGAACCAGTCCTTCAGGGAGCAGGAGGTGAGGAGGAGCGGGGTTCTGAGGGGAAGGCGGTGGGTTTGGGTGTCCCGTCCGTCCGTACCCCCACCGTCCCGCTCTGCGCGCCTGAGGAGAGGCGGCCAGCCGAGTGCGCGGAGAGCCGGTCGCGGTGAGGTGCAGGCAACGATTTAGAAAGTCTTTAAAAAGAAACATAGCCCCTGGAGGGGTTTGTCCTGGAGGAGTGGGATCGGGGAGCCGAAACCGAGCTCGGCGCCTCACCTGACCCAAAAAAAAAAGACCGGCGGCGGGGGGGTGTGGTTGGGGTTTTGAGGTGGGTTTTGGTTTTTTTTTTTGAAGTGTTGTTATTTTTATCGTCTGTTGTGTAGATGAGAATAATTGCGTTCTTGGTAGATGCTCGCATGCCTCCTGCTGCGACAGAAGGCAAAAAGTTCAGCAGCCAGGTGGGGACCGCCTGCCCTGGGCAGGGTTTTATTGCCGAGATTAGCGGTGAGATGAGATGGAAAAGAAAAAAAGGCGACTCCAGACAGCTCTGGGGCTTGAAGGCTCCGGTCTGAGTCGCCAGCCTCTTAAAATCCTGGCTTTAAAACAGCCAAACTTGGGCAATCTCATTGTGCAAAAGGGAAACCAGATGTTGGGAGAGAAATAACGTAAACCAGATCTCTTAAAAGGAGAGCAAATTGCCTCTAATTCTTAAACTGTGTATTTTCTGTAGGGTATAACCAGCACGCTGAGTGTCTGAAGTTAACCTTTGGGTCTGGGCTTGAGTAATGGCTCATAAGCCAACACTCCTGCAAGTGCCAGGTACTGAGTTGCTATCAAGAGCCACTGAAGTTATCAGCGGAGCATGAGGCCAGGTTTCTCCCTCGGTTGCGAACAGCCTGTTGAATTTGAGAAAGGCAAGGGTTGTAATCTCCGTACCGACGTGTCAAGCCGGAGGCTGCTTGTCTGGTTTGAGTGCAGACAGCTGTTTTCAGAACAGAGCTTGAGATTCAGCAAGCTCCTTGCACGTGACTCTTAAAATAAGATAGTCAGGTGGCAATGATTTCTGGCAGGAATTAGGCAAGCTGACGATGAAAATCCCTTTTTGCTTATTTGGTTTAATAGGAAAAGTTTCGCTGTGCATGATTTTTAGATTTGTCACCGTGTTTGTACAGGTTAGCACGGGACTGGCGCGTAGGACATTGCTCTCTAGTAAGTGATCCTTGTAAAAACCACTAATTATTACCTAGTATGGGGGAAAGGCTGTAGGCATGCATGCTGCTAGAGGACAATGTTTGTTGCTCAAAAGTACAGCCTGGTTTTCTTCCAAGCAGCAAGGTGCAATCTTTTCACCATGTGAAGAGTTAACCTGCACTTAGAAGCACTTCAAGAAATTCCACTAGTGTGAAGTCTTGTCTGCCAGCTGAGGCACCGAGGCATAAATTTAGCTTTCGTGTGTATAACATATTTATATTCACTTTTAATAAAGAGTCCCCTGGAAAAAAAATTCTGAATGGAAGCAAAGTGCTGTTGAACTCGCTGGGATTTTAATTACCTGTTGGTGCTGTAATGCTTAATGCTATTAGCTTGTTGCAGAAACTTTACAGACTTCATTCTAATCTGGGCCTCTGTAAGTAATGCAGCGTGGAGACAGGCTAATCATTGTTTGCAAGTACAGAACTAAAAAAAAAAAAAATACTGAGCCAAAGTTATCCATAGTATGAACTGCACTGAGTCTCAGCTTACACCGCAACTGAATTCGGCTGTAAGTGGAGTACATGACCCCAAGCTGAAATGCAGATCTCAGAGAAGGTGAAGTTTCTAAGGAGAGGGATTTTTTTCCCCCTCCCTGTCTTGGATCAAACGGTATCGCTGGAAGGGGAAGAAGAAGAAACAGATGCAGGTTTTTGGCAGTTGAGCCATTCATGCCTGAGAGCACTCGCAGGACAGAAAGTGGGATTTGTTTCTCTTTAAGAGAGGGGAAATGGCCTTTTGCTAAGCTGAATTTATAGCGTACAGAAGTTTTTGTGTTGACCAACAACCCGGGGGAGCACATCGCATGTACAGAAAACGCTCTGGTCATGCCGATCTGTGCAAAATTCCTCCCTTGGCAGAGCAGAGGAGGGTTCCTCGGGAGCCGTGCTCCCTCTTCTTCAAGAGAGCGATGCTTTTCACTTCAAGCCCATGTTTGCGTGCCCCGCTATGTATCGACTGTTCAGAACAGTGGTGATTTATAATCCCAGGGAGCCCCTTTGTACCGCCTGTCCCAAACGGAGAGGCAGGAAAGCCTTCTGCCAGACCTTCTACATATGCATGTGTCGCTTCAGCCTAGCGCAGATGTGCGGGGAAGGCATTCACACATGGCCCTGAGCACAGATAGTGTGTCATTGTACCTCATATCTGGAAAGGCTGCAGAGTTGACCCGTTAGCAGCGAGCTGCAAATGACTGTGCAAGCATCCTAAAGTACCAAGGTTTCTTGCTGTTAATTCTCAGCGTCACGGTTTTATTTTCCATGCTATTTATATTGCTGGCCTTGGCAGAGCTGTGTGTGGTTTACGTACGTGTATTTTCTACTTACATTCCTGCAGTTTTCTTAAGCTCCTCTTGGCTTGCATCCCTTTGTTCTAGTACACCGATACATGGTTTTCTAGAAGTAAATTACCTACTTTTTCCTCCACTCAGAAAGGTCTGCAATTAATTAAAGCTTCCTTGTCTTCTTTTGAGCCCGACCTAACTCTCCAGCCTTCTGTATAATCCTTTTCGTGACTGACTGTGTCTTGAGTGCAGTGGCTCACGGTTGGCAAAGGGAAGAAGCGACTGCAGTGTTCCCGGTGCTGTACCGAAACCCGGCTGAGGGCCGAGGTCCCGAGTCTCCTACAGACAGCTCTTCCCCATTTCTGTAGTCCCCTCATAGTTCTGAGATTACCCAAGCATTTCAAGCACAACATTGAACACACTTTGTCCTGTGCCAAGAGCTCTTTCTGTTCTGCATCACTCATAAATTGTTTCTTTTCATGTTCCCCCCCCCCCCGAACTTTGAAGGCTTAATTCAGTATGAGCTAACCTCCTCTGTTGCTTAACGCTGCGTGTAGGCAGGCAGACGGGCCACTCCTCTGGTCGTGTTGCTGAAATCGGATCTTAGATACGTAGCTTTTATGCTTCCTCAGTCTCATGACTGGAATCCAGCTCTGTGTGTTCCTATTCCCCTTTTTTGTTTTCAGCAGTTGTCACTTCTGTTGCTACTCAGAAGCAAAGGGTTTGGGCACCTTATCTTGCAATCTCAGGCGGGAAGTAGAGACAGCAGAGAGCTTGTCCTAAGCAGTCTTCACCTTTTAGCCTTTTGAAATGTAAGAGGAGGGACTCAACTGTAATTCACCAAAACTGCCTAATAAAGCTGTGGTAAAATTTCTACTGAGGTGAACTCAAAACAGAGGCTGCTTCCATCAACTCATCTGAACTTCACGTTAAGAAACTTCCTTCTGATGATGGGTCATGTCCAACCATCTGCCAGATGTTTTTAAGAGCACCAGGGCACCTCATCTAGCCTTTCTCTTAGCCTTAAGCTCCAAGTCCATCTCTTCCTGGCTTCCCATTGGGCACACCTTTCCTGTACAGTCCTTACAATATTTTTGATGTAAAATATGTAAGGTTGCCAGCATGATTTTAAAAACTGATCTGAGCTTAAGCAGCAGGAGGTTTCCATGGGGCGTTTCCTCTTTCTTGGCAGCATTTCGGTCAGGACAGAATTGAAAACGCTTTGGGCTCCCGGCAGGGATTAGTGGTGTAGAAAAGCAGAAGCTCTATCTTTCAAATCTAAACAACATGTAAGAAAAATTATGATGACTTGCGGGGGGTGAGGGGGAGCAGGAGGGGGAGGAAGCTTTGTAAACTGAAGGTTTTAAACTTTATCCTCTTCGTGTGTGCGTGTCCCTTGCAGGAATGTTCAGCATGTGGTCATTTGCTTTTTGTTAGAATAGCTGTTGAGGCTGTCCTGGGCCCTGACTGTTTCTTTTCTCTCCAAAATAAAATTAAAATGGAAAAACACATACTTTCTACAAAGGAAAACATGCTAAAATGGAGAAGCAGATCACAGCTCCATCTTTAGATGGCAGTCACTTGCCTTGTGGAGGGGAATGCTTCAGTCTATTTATGTTCAAGCCATAACGGTCCCCGTTCGAGCCCGGTTTTGAGTTCTGACTGACATGTAGGCTATCTTGCCTTTTTTACACTGAGAAAGGCCTCTGCAGTTTAATTGCAGCCTTAAAGTTCAGACAAATATTTACAGCCTCTGCTTTCCTTTTAAGATGAATGGCTACTTCAAAACACTCTTCTAGCTGTATTTCCCACTCCTTAAGTGGGTTCATGCTTTTTAAACTTGCCTGGGCAGCCTGAGAAATGAAGTGGGAGTCACAGCCAGTACAATTTGTTCTCTGCTTTATTTACAGGAGCCAAGCAATAAGCGGGTTCGGCCTTTAGCACGGGTCACATCCCTGGCGAACTTGATCTCTCCTGTAAGAAATGGTGCGGTGCGGCGTTTTGGGCAGACAATACAGGTAAAAAGCAGAGCCTTCTAGTCCTAGAAGTCAAGAGACATGGGGAGGGTGCTGGCTGTATGGGTGTAAAACAGGCACTGGGATTTCAAGGCATCTCTTGAAAGTCTCCTACATGATTCATGCAAGGACAGAAAGCTCACTTAGGACTTGGGGCTGAAGGGTTCAGGAGTTCAGAGGTGGCTTGCTAGATACCAGGTTATTGAGGATTTAAGCAGTAAAAAAAAAAAAAACTGATTCAGATAAGCAGAATTAGTTGATAACTGTTCCAGTACTTGAGATATATGTATTGGAACTGACCCTGCTGTTCAGTGATCTTTCGGTAATGTTAAAAAAGCGTTGTCTAACGAACACTACACCCCACACATGCAGATAAGAGCTATTCTCTGTCTGGTTTTTAGTAACATTGCAAATGACAGAGCAAAGTTCCAAGTGGCTCCTGAGTAGCACCGTTATAGGCAGAATTATGATTCTGGTTTATTTACTTCCTCATACCTTGGAAATAGACCCAAGCTTTACCTGCCCATCCTCCCAAGCACTGCTGCTGGATCAGTGCAGGGAGAGGCACATGCAAAAACCTTGCCAGCCTCTGGGCTCTCAGGACTTTCTCAGCAGCTTGATTAAAGTGTTCCTTTAGCTGAGGAAAAGTGTCTGGGTGTGGTTTCCTGCCCTGTACAACAGAGGAGGATGAAGAATTGGGAGGGGTATGGATAATACTATAACACTTCTGTTATTCTGAAACGGTGGCTCTACATATTTTTTTTTTATTTTTTTTTTTACTTTTTTTAAATCCCTATAGTCGTTTGCCCTTCGGAGTGACAGCAAATCTCCTGGCTGCACCCAGAAGTCATGTAGCAGATCTGCTGCTCCTACTCCTCCTAAAAGAAGAAACAGCGTACTTTGGTCTGAGATGTTAGATGTCAACATGAAAGAGTCCCTGAGCACCAAAGAAATTAAGCGCCAAGAGGTAGGCTGTCTGTTAAACAGCAGGACTGGGAAAGGCAGCCGAGGCCTTGGCTTGGGCTGTTTCCTTGGCAAGTGAAGGAGTAACGAGCATCTGGGGGTGCCTGTATCTTCCTGTGCACCTTCCATTTCTAAACAGCTAGATTTATTTCCGCATTAGGCATGGGAAAAGGTAGGCTTCTCTCTCTTGAGTCACTAGGGAGTTCATCTCCCCAGTTTGACCCGTCAGAGATGCCAAACTCTTTCCGTGGGGGGTGCTCAGCATTTCTGAAATTCAAGACCCAGCCATGCTGGTTGCTTTGCAGCAGACCCAAAGTCAGGTTCCTTGTAAAGCCAGCTGTCTTTCTCTTAAAGCTCTTGACAATTGGTTGACAGCCAAATAGCAAGGCCTTGGCTTGCCTTTTTCCTGTAGTTCTTAGACAAATCTTCTAGTGACAACACAGAAGCTGACTAAAGACGCCTGGGATTTGACCTCTGTGGTTTTCTGGGTTTTGTTTTTTTCGTACTTGCCTGTGTAAAAGCAGTGATTTAAAAGGCACTAATATTTAATTTGGCTTGTGCGTGAGCGTCAGAGCTTTCACACAGTTGTAAGTAATGGTCCTTTCTCGGAGCTGGGAAAGCCAGCAGATTTACTCGAGGTTGTCATGCCCAGGTGGCATACAGTGATTCAGATGGCAAACCCGCCTATTCAAGCTGCAGAGACAGGATGTACATTATGTGAGCTGAAAGGCTCCTTGAGAGGAAGACTGGGATTAAAAATGACTCTTGACGCTTTATCCCCTTCCTCGCAGGCAATATATGAAATGTCCAGGGGAGAGCAGGATCTAATCGAAGACCTGAAGCTTGCCAGAAAGGTGAGTGTGGTTTTTTTTACTCACTGAGTAATCATATGACAGATAATAGTGATGTTTCTTTGCACCTGCAAACGTTACTTATCAACTTTATCAGGTCCAGAATCCACACTTGGAAAGCTGGCCTGGAAAGTTGACATGAGCATTCCTACAGTACTGGTTTGATTGCAACAAACCCAGCCAAAAAAAGATTGCGCTTTGCAGTCCTGCCGAGCTAGCTGGGGAATCCCTCTCCCAGATGAGAATTGTTCAGACAGGAAAGTGCTTTTCATTTGATACCTTCATACAGAGATGAATCTTTTAGCGATCAAAGTCAGTGTTACTGTTTCTGTTGGCTTCACTTCATATCTGCCCTGCACATGATACATCCCCTCCTATTTAAATCGTCAGCTTTTGGGTTTGGGAGATTTTAATCTGTTTTAATACTGACCTTCTTTGACAGGCCTACCATGATCCCATGCTGAAACTCTCGATCATGTCCGAGGAGGAACTCACCCACATATTTGGGGACTTGGATTCTTACATTCCTCTTCATGAAGGTAAGAGCAACTGGACCGTTCTCACATAATGTGCTGACTAAGAGTTAAACTCTAGGCTTTCTCACATTAGACCAGCTTACTGGGGCATTGCTGCAATTTCTATTCTTGTGTTTCAATTCCAGACTTGTTGGCAAGTTTAGGAGAAGCAACAAAACCAGATGGAACAGTGGAGCAGATTGGGCCCATTCTTGTGAAGTGGGTGAGTACATAACTTAGAGGCAGCAGACTAAAAATGCACTTAAAGAACGTTTAAAGCTAGAAGCCGAAAAGCTGTGGGCTTTTGTGGCCTTGAGCAAAAGATTGAAACGGAAATCCTGGCTACACTGAAAACAATGGGAGTCTGTCAGCCGTAATGGGCCACGATTTCACCCTGGAGACTTAACGCTAGTGTGACTGCAATTACTTGCTGATTTATGTTTGAAATGTCTATATCTTCTGGACTGTTTGTCACTGATGCGATTTCAATTGTGTTATCGCTGTTAATCTCAAACCTTGAAACTTCAAAGGCGTTGCCTGCAGGATGCCCTTGTTCCCCTCACAAAAGGCTGGTTACATATACAAGATAGTCTGTTAGCTTTTTTTATTGGGCAAAGTATTGCAGTAAGGGAAGTAGAGCTCCTCAAGTTTGACATGTTAATGTGATTTGCTTTTCCTACACCGACCTTAACGCCTGGGCATTGGTCTGTTCTCCCGCAGTTACCACGACTCCATGCCTACAAAGGTTACTGTAGCAATCAGCTGGCAGCCAAAGCACTTCTGGATCAAAAGAAGCAGGACCGGAGAGTGCAGGACTTCCTTCAGCGCTGCCTGGAGTCTCCTTTCAGCCGCAAGCTAGACCTCTGGAGCTTCTTGGACATTCCTCGAAGTCGGCTGGTCAAATACCCGCTGCTCCTGAAAGAGATCCTGAGGCACACTCCTAAAGACCATCCCGATATCCAGATTCTGGAAGAAGCCGTAAGTAACAGTGATTTCACGATCGTTGTTCGGACATAAGCATGTCATTCTGGAGCTTTCTTAAACCCTAGCAATTTCGTGGGGTGGTTTTCTCGGTGGACGCAAATCTGTGACTGTAACCTTTTGTGAAAGCAAGTCAGAGACCAGTCCACATGGATTCCATCATCTGGAGTTTTTAAATAGCACTTAGAGGGAAGATACACAAGCAGAGGTCCTTGTTTAATTATTTGTAACTGGCTTGCTTTATAGATATCTATAATCCAAGGAGTCCTCTCTGACATCAACCTGAAGAAGGGGGAATCCGAGTGCCAGTATTACATTGACAAGCTGGAGTACCTGGATGAGAAGCAGAAGGACCCAAGAATTGAAGGCAGCAAAGCTTTACTGTGCCACGGCGAGCTGAAGAATAAAAATGGACATGTAAGTCCCTTGTGTTCACGGTAATTAAGTCTCAAGTTTGAAAACCTTCCCTCAGAGGTAGTTAAACCCCTTTGTCATAGCAGGAGCGGGAGCCCTTCCATCCTTAGGGTTAGTTTGGACAATTGGCTAAATTTAAGAAGCAGAAGTAAACGCCCCCATGTCATTCCACATTGCAGGGCGTAAGGGAAAGTTTCCTTCTGACAGCTTTACAATTGGCCTTCAGAAGCTGGAAAATAATTAGCACAGAATTACCATAGAAAGCGAGCTCTGTGCCCAAGCACTCCATCAAAAGGGATTTCCTGCCGGCTGTTTACTTTCAGGTGCTCTGACATTCCCCATTACGAGCGCTGGCGCACAGCTCTTCCAAACAAAAGTGTTCCTGCGAACGCCTGTTTGGCTTTGAGCTGAACTGCCAGAGGTTTGTCTCCCACTGCTGCAGCGCTGAAAGGCCCCTCTGTACTCGAGGGTTTGCTGGCTTTTGTTCTGTAACCTCGTTTTAAACATCAAAACTTTTTTTCTGTTTTCTTTATGGTTTTTTGTTGGTTGGGGATTATTTTTCTTGTTTGTTTAATTTGGCCATTACGCTTCCGTACACGTGAAGCCTTTTGTATTGTCAGGAAAGATATTGCTTCTAATCATCCTATTCTTGGCATCTGTAAATCATAATTTTAAGGGTCATGAAAATAATAAACCTGTTGATATAAGTCTGCTCTGTGCCTCCACTGCCAGAGCCCTACGTTGCTGTAACAGGAAACTCATCCCAAAGGATGTGTAACCACCTTGAATACAGAGTGCAATGCTTTACTCATACTCAAATGTGTTTTCCCTTTCAGAAACTCTATGTCTTCCTCTTCCAAGACATCCTGGTTTTGACCCGGCCGGTCACTCGCAATGAGCGTCAGGCCTACCAAGTGTACAGGCAGCCGATCCCCGTCCAGGAGCTGATCCTCGAAGACCTGCAGGATGGTGATGTGAAAATGGGAGGATCCTTCCGAGGAGCTTTTGGCAATTCTGATAAAGGTATGGACCCATCCAGTTTATCCACGTGGGAATCTGTTGGTGAGGAGAGATTACACCTGGGCATAGATCCCCATGGACGGAGGTTCCTTCAGGATAGCGGACGTGTGACGTGTTAACGTCCACCTTTAGGCTGTCACTGCTGGGCTTTGCGGTTTTATATTTGGTGGCCACAAAACTACATACGGCGCTTTGCAGTTTGTGCTCAGACTAGAAAACATCTACTTCACCATTTCTCTGCTGGCTCGGGGCAGTGGGGGGTTGGTGGGGTTTTGATCACTTTTCCCAGAAGCGGAACAGGGCAGTGCAGGTTGCTTGTCTAGCAATGGAATCTCTAAATATTGAGCTAGGAACTGATCTGCTTTTTCCTATGTTTATCTTCAGCTAAAAATATCTTCCGAGTTCGTTTCCAAGATCCCTCCCCGGGCCAGTCCCACACGCTGCAGGCCAACGATGTCTTCCACAAGCAGCAATGGGTGAATTGCATCCGAACCGCCATCGCTCCCTTCCAGCGGACTGCTGCCGCCGCAGAGCTGAAGGAGCTGCCAGAGCTGAGCGAAGAGTCGGAGGAGAACAACCCCTCCATGCCCAACATTAAAGCCCAGAAGAGGCAGTCTGCCATGTCTGGCGTAACCGAGATGGAGCTGGACGAAAGCGCATCCGAGTGTGGCTCCATCCTGGACTCGGAGGAAGCCAAGGGCGTGAAAACACACAGAACATCGTCTGGGCACAGAAAAACGAGGGAGAAGCAGCTAAGTGGCAAGCGGAAAGAAACGCTAGTGTAAAGAGGAGCCCAGTACCATCCTGCTGGAAGACTGTTTATTTATAAATAACGTGTACATTTTTCTTGTAATGTGAGCATGATTGGATTCACTCTACTGAACAGAATTCTTTTTTTTTTTTGGTTTTTTTTTATGTTGTAATGGCAGCTACTGGTATACAGTTAACACTGTTGAACTGGAGTCTGTTTTTACAAACACGGCCACGCTGAACCTGGTTTTAATGCTGTGAGTGATTCGGAAGCCCTCGTGCTTTTGACTGCTCATAGCAGATTTGAAGAGCACGCTTTGGTTTCCAAAAGATTTCTAAAAGTTTGAGGCTGGAAAACAGTAAAGCTAAAGCAGAGGTTTGGGCTGTCACCACGAGCCTGGCAGCACCTCCCTTTGCAGGGGGGTTTGCATCAACACTGCGAGCGCCCTTTTAAAGGGGACTCGAAATCTGAATTCACGTTTTCTTCATGTCTGGCACAGCGCATGTTTTGCAGAGTATGGCTAGCACAATCCATGCAACTTTTCATGTTTAAGGAGAAAAAAAACAACCAAACAAAAAGAAAAAAAAAAGCAACAGACCCCAGGTTCAACAGGTTCTCAATTTACCTACTGGAATCTTTCATCTTAGTGTGTCCTTTGTACATTCCTCATTTTCACTCTTGTAACCTGCCAGATATTTAATTTTTTTTATTATTAGTTGTTTTATTTCCAGTTTGGGGGTTTTTTGGTTTTCTCTGTTTTTTTTTTTTTTGGATTTTTTTTTTTTTTTTTTTTTTTTTTTTTTACTTTTGTATTTTGTTGTTGTTCAGACTTGGCATTTCCTTTCAAGTACTTGATCCTTCTTGCTCTGAGGTCTGCCTGTACATACTGTTTCTCACGTCACTCCACAGTTCTGCGGAGCGCAGGCGAGCCGTTCGCGTTACGAGCCGGTGGCTGCGAGGAGACGCTCGACGTACCCCGTTACGATGAGCGACGTAAATGGCTTGTGTCCGCTCCGGACTGCTGAGAGAGAACTGCATTGCTGACGGGGTGTAGGAAGGTTTTAGGTACGTTGTAAAGGGTTTGGGGAGGGAGGAGGAGCAGCAGCTAGAGGGGAATAGCAGGGACTGAAGGTAGATTTTTCTTGTTACTGTTGCCTTTTGGAAATGAAATGCCTTCCGCAGGGAGGCAAGACTGGAGGCAACCCAGGGGTTATTGCATGTGGTAGAAAGGTAGAGAAAAGAAAGCGTTTGAAGCTGATGAGGTGTAAGGACAGAAGAGGTAGCGGTTGTATATACTCGTAACGGCGACACTGCCATGTTCTAGCAGTCCAAAGATTTCGTGTGAGAGGTGCCGGCTTGGTAACCGCGCTACAAAGCGGTGACAGCTTTGAGCAAAGCCAACGGGTTGTCCCCCTGTGATGGGGCGAGGACAGCGATCCCACAATGCCTGTCCTCGAGCGTTACCTGAAATCTGTGCTTGAGGAGCCGTAACTCGCACGTAAAGGGTTATTGCCTGTCACGCGTTTGGCCAGTAATGTTGGAAATGGGAAGAGGGTGTACATAGACACAAAGGTGTGGTTCTCTGTAAATGTATTGTACAGTTGAGAGTGCCAAGTACAATTAAATTCCTGTCAGCCTCTTGCCTGCCTCCTCTGAGTCGCTGCCTGGGAGAGAGACCTGCTCATGCCATGGGTGCTGCCAGACGGGAGCGGGGAAGCGCATACCTGCACTCCTCCGAGCGCACCCAACGCTGGGCGTAGGGCTGTACCTCACAGGAGGAAGCTGTGGTTTTATTCAAAACCCTTTTTTCTGTCACGGTTCCTTTTTGCGCCACTGCGGCCAGGCAGAATGCAAACGAGCGGTTTACAGCTCCATGTGCGGCGTTGGGGCCCGGCAGCCACCGCCCTTCGTCTGCGACAGGCGGCCGCCGTAAAACAGGGCACAGCTGCCCTGACTCACTCCAGTGCTTGCATCATCCTTCTCCTTTTCTGGGGAAAAAGGGAACAGTGGCAATAATCCCTGCCCTCCTGGGGCACCAAAACCTCCTTCTTCCAGAAAAGAAACCACCCCTCTGAATGGAAAGGCTCCCTGTTTAGCAAATATTTTACAATTCTCTCCTAGATGAGCCTTCAGAAGCAGCCCTGAGTGGAAGGGGGACCCTGCTGGGCAGGCTCCCCTCTGCCAGGGCCACTTCCCCCTGGCGCAGGGGGGGAGCACCCGGTTGGCATGACGAAACCATCGCCTCTCCACAGCCCTCCCGAAAAAGCTGTGGCCTGACCCTGAAGGGGGGTGTCTGGGCATGGCCGCGGCTCCCAGGGGGAGCAGCCCCACACCAGTTCCCTGGGTCCCCGGCTGCGCCCCTGGGTCCCTGCTCAGAAGGGAAGGCACAGCTCCCTTTGCAGGGATAGGGTTTACAGCTGAGCTTTGACCTGTGAAGCTGAGCTTTGATCTGGAGGCGACTCAGCCCTTCCCAAGCAGGGAGAAACTGGAAAAAAGACTCCTTTTGCCAAAACAAAACAAAAAAA